TTACAGTTTATGCTGTTAAACACAGAGTCTTATTTGAGATGTATTGCTTTATTTTTCAATTAAAAGTGGTTTTCTCCTACTTGCGTGTCTAATTAAAATTTTGTCTAGAGGCAAACATGATAAGATTTAATTCTCATAACTCACCCTGAAAGACATGTAGGAGATAACCTATTTTTTTGTACTTAAAAAATTGGATAGGAGAAAGCTACCACATGCTGATGCTGTATGTTGGATTTTACTTTTTAAACCTGTTTTATCTTTATTTTAAATGTTAGTCAACTTACAAAGCTATTTTATGAAGTGTCCATGTGGCAAAATTTTAAGCCCTATTAGCCAGGAAGAAAACTAGTTAACTGGATTGGTTAATAAACCCTTAAGCCAGATACCAGGGGCGGAAGAACATATTGCCTAATACAATATCATATGCCTGTTGGGCTAATCAGGAACCCTGGTGGCATGATGGTTAAGTGCTTGGCTGATAAAGTGAAGGGTTGATGTTTCTAACCCACCAGTCGCTCCAAGGGAGGGAAATGTGGCAGTTGGCTTCCATAAAGAGTGCTCTGTCCTATAGGGTTGCTATGAGTAAGAATCAACAGCAACAGTTTTTTTGTTGGACTGTTCAGTAAATAATTACGATCTTCAGTGAATCATAACATAGAAACTGCTTAGGGCTGCTAGTCAAAAAACCCTTTATGGATGTGGTAATATTTTAACATAGGTAGAAAAGATTTGACCCTGAAGATATAAATACATATAAAAATCATAGAAATATGAATAAAGTGCCCACTTTAGTGTGCACTTACTATGCAGTATAATTTTCTAATTATGTAGTGCAAGTATGAAAAATGATGGGAAATGGAAATGAGATATTAAGAAATTGAAAGAGGAACCTTGGGAAAATAGGTGTAATAGCACTGCCTCTGTGGTGGTTAAGGTTGTGTGTGATCTTGGCTGGGCCATGACTCTCAATGGTTTTGTAGTTATGTAACAATGTAGTCATCCTCCATTTTGTGATCTGAGGTAATCATCCTCTATGATGTGATCAGCCAGTCAGTTGTAAGAGGAGTTTCCTCAGGTGTGTGACCTGCATCCAGTATGTATGGACTTAAGACATTATTTACTCATGGTGTCCCTAGGAGTTAAATAGATGGGAAATCTAAATATTTACTTGATCTGTACAAGCAGAAGAATTCTAGGTCAAGTGAATGGCAGTCTAACTTAAAT